TTCCCTTGTTCTGCTGGCTCAGTTCCTGTTGCTGCAGCTCCGTATGCTGCTAGCCTTCATTGCTGAGAAGACACAGGAGCAACTAATGGCATCTTCTGTTCAATATGACTCCCATGTCCTTTTCAGCATAGCCAGTCAGACTGTAGCATTTACTACTGCAGTGGATTAGTCTGTATGAGGTACAGAATTTTGCTTTTGATATTGCTGAATTTAATGAGATTATTTTTTGTCCGTGCCCTTGATCTTCCTAGAGGCAGGCAATCAGTCCTCCTGAACAGCAGCCATACTCTGGAGTGTGTCAATTGCACCCCACAGTTTGCTGTCATCTCCAAGCTTGATGAGGGCTCATTCCATCTCCTTGTCCAGGTTGCTGATAAAGATATAAATAGGATATGTCCCTGAGTAGACTCTAGAGGAGCTCCTCTTGAATCTAGTCTCTGTGTGGATGATGAACTGTTAACCACTACCTGTTGAACTGCACACCGGACACACCAGAAGGCTGTGCTGCCATTCAGCGTGACCTGGACAGGCTGGAGAGTTGGGCAAGGAGGAAATTAATGGAATTCTACAAGGGCAAGTGTAGGGTACTGCATCTGGGGAAGAGCATCCCCTTGTACCTGTACAAGATGGTGGCTGACCTGCTGGAGGGCAGCTCAGGGGAAAAGGACATGGGAGTCCTGGTGGACAGCAGGCTGACCATGAGCCAGCAATGTGCCCTTGTGGCCAAGAAGGCCAGTAGCATCCTGGGATGCATTGAGAAGACTGTGGTCAGTAGGTCAAGGGAGGTTCTCCTCCCGCTCTACTCTGCCCTGGTGAGGCCATGTCTGGAGTACTGCATCTAATTTTGGTCTTCCCGATTCAAGAAGAACAAGGAACTACTGGAGAGAGTCAGCCACTGAGATGATGAGGGGAGTGGAGCATCTTCTGTAAGAGGAAAGCCTGAGAGAGCTGGGTCTGTTTAGCCTGGAGAAGAGGAGACTGAGGGGGGATCTCATTAATGCTTATAAATATCTAAGCGGTATGTGTCAGGGGGATGGGACCAGACTCTTCTCAGTTGTGCCCAGCGACAGGACAAGGGGAAATGGTCACAAACTGGAACACAGGAGGTTCAACCTAAACATAAGGGAAAACTTCTTTACTGTGAGGGTACCAGAGCACTGGACCAGGCTGCCCAGAGAGGTTGTGGAGTCTCCTTTTCTGGAGACATTCAAAACCTGCCTGGACGCCTTCCTGTGTGATCTTCTCTGGGTGATCCTGCTCTGTCAAGGGTTTGGACTGGATGATCTCCAGAGGTCCCTTCCAATCACTACTATGCTGTGATTCTGTGGACGAAACAATGTAGCTAATTTTTACCCAT